TATACTCGTCTTCTTAATGTTAAATATTGAATTTTAAGTGCACATCCTAAATTCTGTTTTTTTAAAAAAGATCATCCTATAATACCTAAATCTGCATCAACTATGCAAGTAAGTTTACACAAATACTAATGGTAAAAACTCATTTTAATACTTCCTTTTTAGTCAGCAGTTGTGGCTTCTTGAAATGATACTTTTTGCCAGATTGTAGATTGTAAACTCTTAGAAAATAGAGTTTTATCTCCTGTTGCAAACCTTACGTGAAAAAATAAAAACAGAAAACTCCTAAGTAGGAATAGTGTAAACTATCTTCTAGCATTTATGAAACCGTTTTATTACATTTTTATAATTCAATCAGTCATACTAAATATGTTCATTGATCCTCTCTTCCTTCTCTTGTTTACATTCTCTGATCCCAAGATCCCACTATTTATACGTTTTCATTTCTGTTGAGAGTTTATTTCCTTGACATTCTATTTAAAACAAGTTGTAATTTGCTCCTCATTGTAGTTAAATGTCCCTGGTCAGGTAGAGCTCCCCAGGATAGGAGGGTGATATATTTCATTTGAACTTGACTAAAGAAAGCCTATATTGTGGCTATGAATTATTTACTTTTGGTATCATGAGTGCTACTACATTATTAGAATATTAGGCCACCAGCAGTAGTGTTTAAAGGTTTCCAATACCTTTCCAACAGGAATATTTATGCTTTAGCAAAAGCTTGCATTAAAGCAGCAACCTGCACTTGCAAAATGTTAGAGATAAAAGGGTGTGTAAACCACCAGTGTTTTTGTAAATCAGGTCCCTTAGTTTTGCTTTGGAAGAATGACTTACTTTTCTTTTCCTCCAAATTAAAATGAAAATATATTTCCTATTTTTCCTCCTTTGACTTCTTAAATTCCAATGCTTTCTTTTCAATAGAGTACCCCAACTCTTTTCTCAACTCTTCCCTGTAAACACACACACACACACACACACACACACACACACACGTGCGTACGCACTCACACACACATACAAACTCTCACGTTTTCTTTTTCTTCCTAACTTGAGACAGCTTTTCCCAATAAACATAGATCTGGCTGTAAATTAGGTGCTATTGGAAATTGTCATAAACTCTAAAATTATTTCCAAATCTTTAATTCACTTCCAGGAAAAGCTGGTTCGTATTTTATGAATTTTGTAGATAAAGGTCTGATTCCCTTAACTCAAATGGGAATTTCTGTATGTATAATAAAATGACCTATGCGTTACTCTTAGAAAAAATTGCAAACACAACCATAAGCACACATAAAAACATTTAAAAGAAGGTAACAGTTTCCTATTTCTGGGCTCTATTGGCCATTTTATTGAAGACCTGGGATTCATCAATGCTCTAGTTTATTTGTATTCTTGATGAGGATTTTTGTATTTACACTTTTGGTGATTTGGGATCTGGGTTATCTTTAAGACAATTTTCAGTCTTCAGCAACTTATTGACACTGAAAAGGACTCAGCTGTGTCTTTTACTGATATGCTTGTCTGTAAAATGTCATGGTGACAAGTTTAAGCAAATTGTTTTTGTTGCTGATTATGTTCGCTTTTTTCATTTTTAAGATTGTATTGAAAAATAACATACATGCAGGAGAGTTTAAATGTCCTAAGGGTAGAGCTCAATGAATTTTGCACAAATGAACGCTCCATGTAACAAGAATCTGATCAAGAAATAGAACATTACCAGTAACCTAAGATTTCGTGTGAAGGGAAGGAAGGAAATTTTAAATTCTTTCATATCCTATTTTCTGGACATTTGCTGTTTTTTAATAGACTTTTTATTTTTAGAGTAGTTTAAGGTTCACAGCAAAAAAATGTTCACTTTTAATCTTGATAAATAGTGCTGAGAACTATGTATTATTATTATTATATTTGGCTTTCACATTTTATCCCTTGTCCTCAAGTGTATCTCTGAGCAATACAGTGAATAAACTAGATCTGCTGTACAAATTTGACTTACAGCTTTTAGAATGATGAGAATGATCAGCAGTTCCAACATGGTGTCCTCAGTTTTGACACTTTTGGCTTCATACAATGTCATGGTGTCTATGGCCACCTAAATATATTTAGCAGCTATAGGATTCCAGTCTTTAAAAAAGGTGTAAGGCATCATTGCACATTATTAGTTAATATAGACTTTTGGGGTAGGAGAATTTTCTTGCACTCTGTGTCCCTGTTTCACTGACGATCATATAGTTACCAACTTTCTCATAGTCTCTGTTATTGGCCTATGTTCCTGCAGGATTCTACCTCACAGCTGACTCGATAAACCTCAATGATATGAGCCATGTGACAGGCAAACTGAAAAAAAACCCTTACTAGCTTTATTTAGCACTTCTACTCTGAAATCTCCAACCCCAGATATGAAGAGTTATTCCCTGTGCATACATTCTGTTGAGCTCATCACTATGATTCTACTGGACTCCTTAGTTCTTTCTTTTTGGATGGAAAACAGGTAAGAAAGAAAGAGAGAAAGAAAGAAAGAAAGAAAGAAAAAGAAAGAAAGAAAGAAAGAAAGAAAGAAAGAAAGAAAGAAAGAAAGAAAGAAAAGGAAAAAGAAAGAAGTGTCATTAAGTTTATGTTTGCCATCTCTTCTTACATCTGATAACGCTCAAATAACTATACAGAAAGTTCACTTGTCCTTTACCAGATCAGTTGCAAATTGTTGGAAGCACATGGAATGCAGGTATGGAGGAGGCTGAGGCCTTCAGATAGCACATCTGTGGTCAGTGCTGGCAAGAGATTAGGAGTGCCCTGCCCCTCTGTCCTTCAGAGTCACGTGTGAGGCTTTACAAACTTCAGTCAAGAGTAAAAATTCAGTGCTTTCTCATTCTGTACACACAAGGATTTTTATTATAGATCTTATCTCTACAAAATAGAGGCTTCTGAGAGTCTGCATTCTCAGTTTTAAAGAGGTTGTGCAGGATCAAAACACAAGAGCTTTTTTGCTGTGACACTCTACTAACACATGAGTGTTAAGACTCATCGTTTGTGTTTGGTTTGGGTTCAGTTTTCATAGTGATGGATATATTAGTTTCCTAAGACTGCCATAACAAAATGCCACAAAATGAGTAGCGTAAAACAACAGAATTTTATTCTCTCATAGAGGCTAGAAATTTGAAATCAAGATGTCAGCAGAATAATACTCCCTGTGAAGGCTCTTTGGGAGAATGCTTTCTTGCCTCTTCCTAGCTTCTGGTGATTGCCTTCCATCCTTGGTGTTCCTTGGCTTATAACTGCATCACCAAATTTCTACCTCTCTTGCCACATGGCCTCTTCCCTCCATCGCTGTCCCTCTATGTCCAGATTTTTCTCTCCTTATGAAGTCACCAGTTATTGGATTAAGGCTACTCTTACTCCATTAAACTTCATCTGACCTTGAATACATCTACAGAGATCTCTGCAAATAAGCTCACATTCACAGGTATCAAGAATTAGGACTTCAACACATCTTTTGAGGAAACCATTGTCCATTAAGTCCACATCCAAAATTCCAGGGCCATGATTTATTCCAAGGAAATTGACTAAGTCCAATAATTTAATAATATATTTCACCAGTCACTAGTTCTAATTTGAAGTAACCATGCATTTTCATTTGCCAAATTAGAATACCCATTTATTTAGTTCTATTTTACATGTAGCTTGACCTTCTTTATCTTCAACATCTCTTACTTTTTGACAAAGATCCGCAATGCTTGTTAAGAAGATTAAGCCACTTTTGGGAAGGGGTTTACATGTCACTGAGAAGCAGAGCTGCTAATGATGGATGAATGTATAAAGGGTCTTTCATTTCATATAATGTGGCCTGATGTGCAGTAATTACAGTCCAAGTAGTCTTAAGTCAGGCAAGGAGGTAGTATGACAGATATTTTAGATTCAAGGGCAACAGAAATACACCTTCAGTAGATTTCTGTCACCGACTGTAAATCAATACTCTTTAGTTGTTTATGTTTGATTGCTAATTAACTGCTGACAAAGGTAAGTTTGTTTTTGAAATTAATGTAGCCATGACTTAAATGGAGTGACTTTTGGTCCCAAACTGAAAAAGTGATGCAGCTCTGCTTTTATTTTGAACTAGGCATGTTGCTTTATTAACATGTATAATTGTTCTAAAGTATTAATATTTTATGTTAAATTTTATATTTTAATAATTTTATATTAAATTTGTATGGTGCGGGAGAGGGAGAAATCCCTAGATGCCTTTAGCAAATTTGTATGATTCCAATGATAACTACCACCTCGATTTTAAAAATCACTATTTAATGCACTAGGTTATAACCTTAATTTAAACCTGTGACCAAGATGGATAAAAATATCAGTTTCGTTTCATACATGTTGAAAAGTAAATAACACATTATGTAATTATACACTAACTTAATGTAGAGCTGATAGATACAATATAAAGATAAATTTTATCATCATAATCATCTTCTTATATTTATATCCTGCTCCTACTGAGATGAATCTCTGGTTACATTTACATATTGAATTACAAAGTTAAAACTAATGATGGGATCAATTATGCCCCATACTGAGCTGTGCACTTTGGAATGACTTTGAGAAAACAGGAGGGTCAAAAAAAAAAAAAAAAAAAAAAGCATCCACAGCACACAGTGGTTTCAAGATTATGCTAACAGATAAGCAAAGGAAGGACTGTAGTAGACAACAATTTGTTGTCTTTGTCAAAGAAATCAGGTTTTTATTGGTGTAAAGCCTAAAGTATATTTTGAATATAAATATTTCTGAGAATTAGAAAATATATAGGCTGGGTCACAGAAGTTGCTAAATGGTTTATTTAAGGTAGATGTATAAAAGCAAATGTAATATGAATCGCTTTATGGTCATCTTAATTGTTCTTGTAATTCCTTTGATGTATTGTTAGTGTATTTGCTGTATCTTAGTTGAAATACCTGCTGTACGTTTGCTCTTGTCATGCCAGAGTTGATAGTGTCCTCTTTCTACTTTCCTAGCTGCATAATAAATGTGCTTCTCATCTCAAACCTGAATGTGACTGCGGACCTCTGAAGGACCATATTTTACCACCCACAACAATCTGTCCAGTAGTACTGGTGAGTTTTTCCTTCTCATCATCCTGCTATAACTTGGGGTATCTATGACTGACTGGTACACTATACCACTAAATGCTTCCAGAGCTAATTTTCCATTGATCAAGGCAGAGCTCTATAGATCTAAAAGACCTCATTACTGTGGAGTAGACACCTTTGCCCACTATATTTCCTTTTCTCTTCATGGCACAATAAACGTTTTAGTAAGGTATGCTCTAACTGAAGCTGACTAAGGCTTTATCACTTAGTCATGCTGTACTTACCAGAAATTGTATAGGCAGAACACTTCTACATTTTACATGTTTTATAGATCTAGCTTCCCAGAATAATGAAGTTACTCTTATAGGCAATTTTGCTGGGGATGCACATTATATATCTGCAACGTTGAGTTCTCTTATCTAGGTCAGAGGCTACCTAGAATGAGGACACATACGCTGAAGAAAGTTATGCACTGCCATTAGGTGTATTTTATTTTTTATTAGTGAACAGTAAATTTAACTATCTGCAAAATACTTAATTAAATAAATGTGCAAGTGGAAAATGTGTTGAGGTAACCCAGAAAAAAAGCAAACCTTGATAGAGAAGCAGATATTTAAAGATGATATTCATTTTACATTTCAAAATCCAAATTGTGTCTAAAGTTTAACACTTATTTTACAAAACAAACTATTTTTTTGTATATAATGCAATCTGTATTTTTTAAAAACTATGGAAATTAAGTGGCTGGAACTGCAGCTTGATATAATAAAAATACAACAACTAAAAAATGTTAGACAAATACTTTTCTAAAGGTCAATCTAGAAATTAATCAAATTACTCAATTTGCACCCACTTATGATTCATTTTGTAATTATCTGTAAAATACTGGTTGTATTTTAAATGTCTTTATTTAAAAAAATTATTTAAAACTCCTAATTTTCTCAAACTACAATATAGAGCAAAAGAAAATACCTCCACCTTGCTGAGGATAGCAATAACCGATTCTCAATTTCCTTTCTTTGTGTGTGATTTATTAGACATCCTGTAGCAAATAAGATTAATTAAAAATAATGAATGCCATATAAATATACTTTACATTTTTAGATGAATTGGGGGTGTCATTTTATTCTTTTAGAGTGTTATCTTAAAGAGAAAGGACTTGTAGAATTTTTACATGTTTTCATCCTTTTTAAAAAGTATAGTAATTTTACTGGTTTTGTTGCAGATCTCAGATTTTAATTCTGCGAAGAAATTCATTATGTCATCCTACCTTCTAGCTACCTATGTAAAACCCATTCAATTTATTGAAACAGTGGACCACTTCTTTGGTCCACTTATATCAGCCTCTGGTCACATAAAGTTAAGCATGAGATGTATTCTTTTTACCCTCTATCTTTTCTTTCTTTGAGAGAATTAAAGGTAAAGAACATGTGTTACACAAATATTCTTGTCTTTTAGCAATCTTACAAACCCTCTCATTATTTCGTTGTTTTTTTTTTAAGATACTCTTGATTCTGAAGATTTAATTTCAGTCATGAAATCTTCCTTCAGTTTTAATCATCAGTTGTATCTCAACACTTACCATTTTCACATTTCCTTGGTACTCTCTACTCTGAAATACGTGGGCACTATTGACCTCTTCATCCTTCATGAATGCCTACCTTTCACTGACTTCCATTATACCACATTCTCCTGGTCTTTCTTCTCCTGGTTTCCCTGGAGACTTCCTTTTTTATCTTTCCTGGCTTTCATAACTTCCTCCTGCTCCGTGTTGGTGCATCCCGTGCTCAACCGTCATATGTCACAGCTTTTCACTCTTAACATTCTTCCCAGTGGGATCTTGTTTATTTAGTTGACTTCATTACCATGTTAATTTATATACAGTTCATCCTCCATCCATAGGTTTGAATCTCAAATCTATGAGGCTGCAACTTGAAGGTCCCATGTTGTTTTACATGCCTAATATATTATTATTATTTAATGTAATAATGATAATTCATATATATTGAACATATATACCATACCAGCTACCATGCTAAACAGGTTAATTCATTAATTCAATAAGTATTTATTGAGTGTCTAGTTGATGCCACATAGTATTATAGGCAGGGGGGTAAAACAGTAAAAGCTAAATTAAATCTTTGCTTTTGTGGGGTTTTCATTCCACCAATAAACAATGAAATGAGAAAATTATTTCCTACCTGGTTGTATGTTAAATGAAAAAGACAAAACTGAAACAGGAAAAAAAGAGAAGAAATGTTGGTGCTGCAGTTACGAAAGGGGTGGTCAAGAAAGAGTTCAGTAAGGGGATAGTTGAATGAAGAGTTGAAGAATGTGAGGGAGTCACCCAGGTGGCTTACTGGGGATGGAATTTCACAGAGGAGTCACCAAGGAAGAACGAGGAAAGGCTTAGAGGCAGGAGAAAATGGTCATATCTGAAAGGCATCAAGATTAGTGGCTGGGCCTAAGTGAGAAAGAAGAATAGTAGAGGACAAGCTCACAAGTATCACAAAATTTTCATGTCCTGTGTGGCAATTTAGGCCATTTTAAGATCTTTAGTTTTTATTTCAAGTGAGGTTGGAAGCCATTAGAGGATTTTTGACCAGAAATATGATTTATATTTTATTTTATTTTTTTTAAAATTTTTTTTTCAATGTTTTTTTATTTATTTTTGGGACAGAGAGAGACAGAGCATGAACAGGGGAGGGGCAGAGAGAGAGGGAGACACAGAATTGGAAACAGGCTCCAGGCTCCGAGCCATCAGCCCAGAGCCTGACGCGGGGCTCGAACTCAACGGACGGCGAGATCATGACCTGGCTGAAGTCGGACGCTTAACCGACTGCGCCACCCAGGCGCCCCTGATTTATATTTTAAAAAGAACAATCAAACTGGTGAGGGGGAAGCAGTGAATGAAAACATATGTGACACTTCTCTCTTATCAGAGACATAGGAAGCTGGGTCGTTACTGAGAGCAAGGAAGGTATAAACTGTATGAGAAGTTTGTGGATTGGGAAGAAGTTACACAACAGGCACCTAGAAATGTGGGACCTTAATGGATCAAGGAAATGCCATTTGATTGGCAGGGAACAATGAGCAGCCACTTGTTAATCATCATAGATTTAGAGTAAGACCAGTAAACTTGGATGAGTATACTTCTCTGGTCACATTCAGTCATATTTCTTTAGTTTCAATCTAGCTCCAGGAGTAGAATAGGTATAACCTAGCCTTAACAAGACTGTTTTGCTAAATACGATCCAAATAGAGAGTAACCAAGGAATTGAGACTATATGAAATGGAATGCTTATAAGGATTGGTCATGGAAGTTAAGCTGGGAGGTAAGGGAAGTAAGAACATGAAGAGTGAGGCACAGTAATGGGTGTTAGGAAGAATATCTTATGGATCATAATTGAATCAAAGATCGTTGAAGTCAAGGTTACTGGTGTGAGGTTGTGGGAGCGAGCGGAGTCACAAATGGAGATTATGAAGGGGTTGTGGTTACTGGTAATGATATGTATGAGTTTGTTTAATCCTCATAGTGACACCGTGAGATCAATATTATAACTATCTCCATTTTGTATGTGAGGAAACTGGGAAATGGAGTTTAAGTAAATTTCCTATGTCACATGGCAACGAAGTGGCAAACCAGAACTGGAACCCAAAAGTGTCACTCCAGAGCTTGTGCACTGAACTCATCATTATTACCCCTTTTCCAAATCCCGAAATAGGCCTTCTCCTATTTATTTTATCTTGGTGACTAGAACATTCATATCCCAACTTTCCTAAGACAGAAACCTTAGAATTATCATTGCTTCATCTTGAATATCAGGTTGGTCATTGGGCAGCCTATTCTAATATTCTTAATCCTTTCCTTTTCTTCAGCCCATCCATAACGGCCTCACATGCCACTATCACAAATTGTTCTCCAGGATTGTCCTAATGGCACCTTACTGAATTGCCTCCATTCCGTACATTCTTCATTCTGCTTCCCGAATCCACTTGCGAAAATGCAGTATAATATTTTAATTCCAAACTATCTAGCATGGTGAGCAAGGCTTTAACTAGATCAACTCATCCAGTCCTTCATATGCCAATTACTCACTAGAAATCAAGGATGATTTGAACTACTGTAGTTCTCTTAAGTACACCGGCTCTTTAAAGCCTTTGAAGTTTTGTGTATCTTAATAAACCAGCCTGAATCACTTTGCTTTAAAATTTCCCCCAACTTGCTAAGTGGAAATTAAAGGTTACGTTCTTGTCATGGAATAGATCCTATTAAACCCATTAACTATCTAAATACTGATACTTTAAACAAATTAATGCAGTTGTTCTGCCCATAAAATTGCTTAATTTTTTCTGGCTGATGGGCTTTGAGACTTTTCAGTTTTTAAGCTATCATTTTATATCCCAGGATAATTCCACACCACGTCACCTGTTGTAAAATTATAAACTTTTACTTAAAGAAAATCATTAGTCTTTTTTAATGTTTATTTATTTATTTTGAGAAAGAGATCACAAGTGGTGGGGGGGAGCAGAGAGAAAGAGGGGGAGAAAGAGAGAGAACCATAAGCAGGTTCCATGCTCAGTGTGGAGCCTGATGTGGGGCTTGATCCCACAACCACGAGATCATGACCTGAGCCAAAATCAAGAGTTGGGTGCTTAACCAACTGAGCCACGCAGGTGCCCCCAAAATCATTAGTTTTTCAAAAATAATATAATCTTGTTTTTTTTTTCAATAACAATTTCCTTCTTAAAAAATTATGAGACCCATTTTCTCATGCTAATGTCCTCAAAGAAGAACAGGTGAGGTTCAGAATCACTTATTGCAAAATGGCTGTGAATATCTTCTCTATCACATTCCAGGAAATATAAAATGAGGAACTTAAGATACCTATTTTTGTTGAGGTTTTTTTTTTTTTCCTTTTCCTTAACTGTATGGTCAGGAATTGGTTATTGAATAAGTGGTATAAACAATATGGAGCCCTGATGACTGGTTGAAACATCTTAATAATATAAGTTCAAGGTCT